GGTCCTACAAAGAGAGCTCGATAGGGTATGAACATGGGCTGATAACTGGCAAAGGTAGTTTATCAGAGATAACTGCAAGGTATAATGATAATTGTTACATTTGATATAACATGTTATCACCATCGTTGAGATGTCACAAAGTGCTTCACAGGATACACTGTAAATGAATGAAATGTGGCAGCCAATTGCACACAGCAATGTCTCACAGACAGCCATTGAGTGAGTGACCAATTTTATTTGGGGCGTTGTTGGCCAGAATACTGGGAGAAACTCATGATGGCATGAGATCTTTAACATCCACCTGAACAGGCAGATGGAACCTCAGTTTAATGTGAAGGATGGTGGATGCCTTGTGTAACATTCAGCAGTATATAGTCTTGTCCACATGTTCTGATATTGCATATAGGAAGTAAGAATAGGAAACACAAGTAGCCATGGCTGTGAGGAAGGGGGAAGAGATCGAGGAGTGTTGGGTGATTCATTACTCACCGTACCAAAACAGTGTGAGGAAATAAACAAGGCAAACAGGATGCTGGGCCGTATTGCTACATCAGTTGAGTTAAGATCCCAAGAAGACACACAACGGGAATTTTGCATTGACTGCCACGTTCGCCTACAAATGCACAGTCACTACAGTTGACCGGAATTACCTGTGAAACACTTTGTGAGGTTTCAACATGATTAGGTGCTACATCAAATACAAGAATTATTATTATTATGAGCCCAACCCAGTATATTGGTGGCACCACATTATTATTTTATATATGTTTGCATTCAATGCTAACAACATTAGAGTGAGACCCTTTCTCTATATCAGAACTTTAGTAACAGATTAACCTATATCAGAGCTTTGAGATTATTATTATTATTATTACGCTCAGCTCTGAGGCTCACCATCATCACTCTAGAGGTGATTGCTGTCTTCAAAAGCTCCACTTATAAACATCTACCAATAAGCCACAGACATTTCCACATGTAGGTGATCTACTTATGTGGTACTCAGGTCTGGTTTGTATACTCTTAAGCATGGTAATGGGTTTCCTCATGTGTCAGACACCCAGCTGACCAAAAAACGCTCTCTCTCACCCGCGCTCTCTCTCACCCGCGCTCTCTCTCACCCGCGCTCTCTCTCACCCGCGCTCTCTCTCACCCGCGCTCTCTCTCACCCGCGCTCTCTCTCACCCGCGCTCTCTCTCACCCGCGCACAAATACATGCATTTAGAGGTACATACTACAGCAACAATTTGCATTTATATAGTGCACTTCACGCAGGGAAGCTTCTCAGAGCACACATACAACAAGAAAATTACATTTGCATAGCACCTTTCAAGTTGAGAGGACATCCCAATGCGCTGAAATACATACAGACAGACACACACATACGCACAGACACTCCCCAAGGTTGCCCACCACCGAGACAAAAAAAAAACAGCCACTCACACGCGCACTAACATAAAGTACAACTTGTCATATTGCTAATAGAAGCAAGTAAATAAGTTTGAAAAATAATACTGAGTTTGTTTTTTCCAGTTCTAATTATATAACAGCCAATTTTTTTTAATAAATGGAAGGCAGCAGCAAGCATACAATATATCGCACTCATCAAAAAAAGACATCTGATGTACTCCACAAAAACAGAATGTCCACACTGTTTTTTTTAAAAAAAGTTATTAATATGCTAATCGAGTCTAGTCATAACATACATTTTCCTTCTCCTCTTTTACCTTTCCGGGTTAGACTGAGAGGATCTTTTCACAGTTCTGAGAGATTTTACACTGAAATTATTTTAATTTCAAATCTTAATTTCAGCACCTTGTTATACACTCCCGACATGACAGGTGGTACCAAAATATAATTTGTTGTCGCCCGGCACCACTGGCTCCACATCCTACAGAGGATAGAGTTCAAAACTCTCATCCTTGCTTTCAAAGCCCTCCAGAGCCTTGCTCCTCTCTAGTTCTGTGACCTGCTAACTTCATGTAGATTTATCCGTTCCCTCCCCCACCCATCGGACCCCAGTCTGCTCCATGTCTCCCACCCAGCCCACCCCATCATCAGCAGTCAGGCCTTCAGCCACTCCGCGCCACCCCTCCCCCCTTTGGAACTCCATCCCACAGTCCTATCGCCTTGCCCCATCCCTTGCATACTTCAAGACCCTCCTCTTCAGCCACATCTTCAGTCAACCTCCTACAAACCCAATTTGTTGTTGTTATCTGCCTTTGATTACCGTCTCTGTCGCCGTCACAAAGCCTCCCGCTCACCTGTGCATTCTCTCCCTACCTCACCTGCTCCCTCCCAGCTGCACTTTCTCTCTCTCAAAACACAGACACATCCATTCTGGTATGATCACTGTAAAATACACAGCCCATTAAACCATTTTCACCAGCAACTAGCAAGGCAGTACACAAACCAACCAGACTGGTTAAAAAACAGCCAGGTGATAGCCCTAACTCTCCCTTACAAACACACATAGAAACAAACACACATATCCCTTCACTTGCACCCACTTTCCCTTCATACACACACTCTCACTGTCCTCCACACACACATACACACTCCCTCACATATACATGGTGACACATTAACTCACACACATTCACATACAACAACAACATGCATTTATATATTACCCCTCACACAGGGTAGCATCCCAGAGCTCTTGGTTCATGTTCAAGACTAATGTTCACTCACTCACCCACACAAACATTCACACCCCCAGCACCCCTAGATATCGTTCAGCTTCCCCCTTGGTAAGTTGTAGCCCATCCAATGGAGCACTTGTGTGTTTCCTCTTCTTACTTCCTCTATGTAACCTTCATCCATGTTGAATTTCATTTGCAGTCCAATTATCACCCCATGTGCAGCCTATCAAGCTCTCTTTATTGAGACCTTTGCTGCCTCCTCTGATTCCCCAGTTCTCCCCCTTCCCCCAATTTGGTGACATCTGCAAATGTGGTAATCTTACACTGGGTCTGTGAATCCAGGTCATTCATTATAGATGAGGAACAGGAGTGTAATGATTCTCAATCCACACAACTAGTGTATCCAATATCCCAACCATAAACCCCCACCAGCTGGTCTCCCAGAATCTCTTTTTATACTTCCTGGTCTTTCATTGGTTCCCAGTTAATTGTCTATTTACTCTTAAATGGTATCTATCAAGGAGATTGATCACCTCCCTATCTCCACCTACATTCTCTAATCATTATCCTCTGCTTCCTTCTTTACAGCCAGTCACCAATTCAATGCCACATCCCACCACTGGTACCCAGAGATCTCTCTCACTTTGTAAAGAGTCCAGTGTTACTTCTAGCCTAAACCCCATGTCGGAGATAGATGTGACATTTCTGTGTCTGATTTTCACGGTCCCGTCTGCCCGTTCAAGTGGATGTCAAAGATCCCATGGCATTATTCGAAAAGAGAAGGGAGTCTTTCTCCCAGTGTCTTGGCCAACAATTCCCTGAATAAAAAATTGTTCATTCACTTTGTGGCTGTTTGTTGGGCATTGCTTAAATAGGCTGCCATGTTCAATCCACTTCACAGTGTATTCTTTGAAGAGCTTTAAATGTCCTCCTAATATGAAAGGGGCTATAGCACAAAAAAATGTGATCATTCAAGCCACGACTGTTTGTTGGACATTGCTGTATGAAATTGGCTGCCGAATTTGACCACACACAAAATCCACTTTAAGCGCTTTGTGAAGCACTTTGAGACGTCTCAATGACATGATAAGTTGCTATATCAAATGCAAGGATGATTATTATTTCAGGAGTATTATAATGGGACAGTTAGCTGACAGACTGTAAGTCGAATGATTTCAGAAATGTTACAAATATCTCATGTCCGAGGTGTTGAGGAAGGAGACTCATGAAATCCATCAAAGTGAGGGATGTCTGTGTTAGATAAAGGAACTCTATCTAATAGCCCATTGATGTGATGGTGTGATTCATAATTTCCAGGTCAGGCACGACACAGGTCTGGCAGAGAATAAAGCCTCCTCTGCAAGGCCCCCAAAAATGTGTTCCACTTTTATAATAATCCTTGCATTTGATATAGCGCCTTATCACGTCTTCGAGACATCTAAAGCGCTTCATAGTATATACTGTAAAGTCTATCAACTGTATATTTTGCTAGGTAACCCGGTGAAACAAGGCAGTCAATTGCATACAACAGTGTCCCAAAAACAGTCATAGATTGAATGACCAAATGATTACCAGTTTTTTTTAAAGGGTTTATTGCCCCCAGAAAAGTGATCTGCTAATCGACTAACAACTGAGTTACCACTTACTGATAATTTACAGTAAAAGGAGACGTGTGGAGTAAGGAAACTCACCAGTGTTCATACTCCACATGAGCCTCCACCCCTCCTAATACTCCAAATCTATTCTATTTGGAGTCCTGTAGCATAGTGGTTAGCATGCTCGCCTCACAAGCAAGTGGACTCGAGTTCGATTCCCAGGCAGAGCGAAACCTTACTCAACATACCTCTGTTTATCTGGCAGTAACTAGGAACCCAGATGTTAGTCAATTGGCGCATTGCTTTTCGGGTGTAATAATCCCTCNAAAAAAATTAGGACGCTCAATCCATGGCTGTTTGTGGGACGTTGCTGCGCGGAATTGGCTGCTGCATTTCGCCCACAAAATACACAGTCAGTCCACTTTACAATATATTCCGTGTGCAATCCATTCCAACAATCTATCTCTGGAATTTCTATGTGTAGGTGCGATGTATGGAATTCCCAGGTTGGTTTGGATGTTCTTAAGGATGGTGGTGGGTTTTCGCATGGGTCAGACACCCGCCAGCCCGTTACCCCCNAAAAAATTGGCCACAAATGAAACAGTCATTACACCTGAGGCAATAATAACCGAGTCATTATTAGGTTAAGGTGTGAGGTTTTTTGTCATAACGCAGTGATAAAAATGCAAGTTCTTTTTCTTAAGCAGATTTTTTCCCCCATTGCCATATTCCTTTTGACTGTGGTTTTTTGACCCCTGTGTAGGGAGGAGGGGCTGCCTCCAAGAATGAAAATGGGGAACGCTTTCCAGAAGGTTGCTTCTGCCTTACCCTTTGGCTCCGAAGAGGGACTGAGCTGCATCGACACCGACATGGAGGAAGTGAGCGCAGACAGGATGCTGGACGTCAGCTACAAGAAGATAAAGAGGTTTCCGTCTCCCATCTGCTCCTTCACCTACGTGGAGAAGTTGTACATCAGCAACAACCGACTGAGGGAACTCCCCGGTGAGTTTGAGCAGCTGGTGAACCTCAAGATCCTAGCCCTGGACTATAACAAGTTTGAAGATGTGCCTAAAGTCGTATGCACTTTGCACAACCTCACCAGACTCTACCTTGGCAGCAATAGATTAATGACCATTCCTTCAGAATTCAGGAACTTAGAGAACCTCAGGTGTCTATGGATAGAGAGCAACTATTTCAGAAAATTCCCCAAACAGTTACTTGACATGCCCAGTCTGAAATCTCTCCAGATGGGAGACAACAGGCTGAAGTCCCTACCAGAGGACCTGGTCAGACTCCTAACCCTTCGAGGGTTTTGGTTGTACGGCAATAGGTTTGAGGACTTCCCTCGGGTGCTGTTGAAGATGGAGTTTCTGGAGATCCTCGATGTGGATAAGAACAAGATCACTCAGTTCCCCAACATGGAACATCTGGAGAGGCTCAAGCTCTTTTGCTACGACCACAACCCTGCTAAGCGCCCCCCGAAGGTGGCAGACGGGGTGACGCTGGTGGGAGATGGGGCAGAGGAACTCCTGGCTGCCAAAGCTCAGCAGATCCTGGACAACCAAGAGAACCAGGACAACCAAGAGCCTCTGCATGGAATCCTCAAAAATGGCTCCACCGCGTTGGAGCCAAAGAGGACCTACTCATCCTTGGACTGTTCTCAAGAAGAAACGTGATTTTGGGCACCAACCACCACCTATGGATTATCACGTGTGGGAATGCCCTGTGACAGCTTTGCTGGAGTCCCAATCGGGAGGGTGATTTACCCATGTTCTGTACCGCGGGACGCAAGGCAGGCAGATGACCTGACGTTATCTCGGAATGTGGGGGTAGGGTGGTGGGGGGGATGTCACTGATCTTCTGGGAGGGTCAGGAACAGGAGCTTGGGGGTGGAGGGTGGGGTGGGGGGAGGAGAAGAGGGGAAAAGAAAAATCCCAGGCCCTAACACCCACCCCCCTTCCTCCACCCCAAACTTGGGAGAAGGCAAAAAGCCTTTCTTCACACAACCCAATCCATGTTGGGCTTCAGGAGGCAGTCATGCAAGGAAGTGAGGTCTATGAGCTGCTTTGTGGAGCGGTGACAAGCCATTTATCAGCTGTTTGGGTTAACACAGGATAGATACGCCACAAGCAATTGAGGACCTTCTGTATCTGCGTCAGTAAGTCAATCTGTGAATGTTTGTGACCCGGCATCCGAGAATCAAAGCAGTGTCTTGGTGATACTTGATGCAGACAGTTGCCAGTCGATGACAGAGCAGTATTACATTCACTGCAGTAAAACAAGAGCTTGGGGTACTCTGTTTCCGTCCCACAATAAACGTTTTGGGGGAGGGGAGAGAGCGAGGGTTGGACATTTATGAATAAGGTGCACTTACTAATTAATTTGTAATACTTGGCAAAAAATAAATTACAGGCTGTCAATCTGGTCTGCCGCAGTGTAAAATACTAATAATAGTGACTTGCCTTTATACAGCGCTTTGGGACATCCTCCTGACGTGAAAGGCGCTATACAAACGTAATTTTGTTGTTGTTGTTCCCACCTAAAATAACCCTCTCATAGCACTTTACTGAATAAAAATGATTCAGAATGAAAGCAAATGTTATCACGAGATTGGTTTGGATGAAGAAGGCCCTTTGGCCCATCTGATCTCATCCTTCCAGAACACCCACCCTACCATTAAAGCATTGAGCTTTTAAATATATAAAAGTGTCCTGGCCTCAACCACCCTTACGGGTAACCCCGTTAATTACCCTTGTCAGACAGTGCTTTCAATATATAAATGCAAATTGTTGTTGTTCAGTGACAAGTTATGTGGGTTTAGTTGGTTAAACTCCAGCAGTTACCCCAACGCGAACTCTGGGGTCCCCAAGCCTTGGCTCTTGCCAACCTGCACCCAGTTCCCTCGGAAATTAGGATCCCCGTAAGCAGGATCATCCCTCTGGGGAGAGAGTGCACATTCCATTCCAGTACGCAGGAATTTCCATGTGTAGGTGGGATGCATGGAATTCTCAGTCTGTTTGGATACCCTTAAACATGGCGATGGGTTTCAGCACGTGTCAGACATCCTGCTGACCGAACCCAGCTATGCCAACCTGGCTCAACAGTAGCGCTCTCATTTTTGTTGTGGGTTCAAGCCCTACATTGGGACTTGGAATCACGTAATCTAAGATGACACTCCAATGCAATGCTGGGGATGTGTAGCATTGCCAAGTTGCTCTCCTTCAGATGAGACATTAAACCGAGGTCCCACAACTTGTTCACAAGGAGAATGGAGTTTCTCCAAGTGTCCAGGCCAACAGCAATCCCCCAAATAAAAAATTAGTCACTTGTTCCACGGTTGTTTGTTGGACTTTGCTGTGCGCAATTGGCTGCCGTGTTTCGTCCACAAAACACACAGTCACTCCACTTTGCAATATGTTCCGTGAAGCACTTTGAGGCATCTTGACTATATCAAGTGCAAGGATAATTATTATTTTTAAAAAACCGAGCCAGCAACATCCTGTAAAACAACAATGAGAAGAGAAGTCATTTCATTTGAATTTGGGGGTTAATTGTGGACAAGGAGGGGAACAAGCCAGGATGAACTGAGGGTGGGGGGGGTGGGGAAAGGGGACAGTAAATGGCTGTTTGCGGATGCCAACGTTTTCGCTTTACATCTGCCTGGGTCACCTGTAATGGCGGAACTTAAACCAACAACAGCTCAGCGTAAAAATGTACTGTCATCGCCAAACATCCTGCAGTGCTTTGAAAGGATCCACTTTGTTTATGCTTAAAATAATTCCACTTGTTAAAATAAGATTTCAGTCCGTCTGCGGCAGGAAGGAGGAGGGGAGGGGTGGGGGGAAGGGGAGAGGAGTTGGGGGTGGTGGAGGGTGATTGTGGAGTGGGGAAGCACATTATATTGAGTGTGGGCTGGCCTGGGCTTCTATTCCCTTAAATGGCAAGGCCCAGATGCACTCACTGTGTGAGGAATGCAGCAGAGATCTATGAACAGATTCTGCCTTTACTTCCGTTTAGGGAGAAAGGATTCGTGGTATTACACTAGTATAATATTGGGAAAGAGGCAATTTGGGGGAGTGGGTTATATAACATTACCGGATCTGTATGCTGCTCTGGGCAAATACCCTTAAGACATCTGCTTCCACCAGTCATTGTTATTATCACAGCACTCAACAACAACAACAACAATTACAACGCCCCTTCATGTCGGGAGGACATCTCAAAGGATTCACTGTGAAGGGTAGTGACTTTGCATTTTGTACGCAAATGTACATTTTGTGGGTTTCAGTGACTTGAGCACAAGAGAGAAATGAGGACAGACCGAGAGGTTGAGGGAGGGAGATCCAGAGGTTTGGGGGTAAGAAGTCAGAAAACTCGGAAACTGGAGAGGGTGGTGTGGAGAGGGTGGGGGATAGACAGCAAGTCCGAGTCAGACTCTAATGGATTAGATGTTAAAGATCCAATGACGCAATTTAAAGAGAAGGGAGTTTCTCCGAGGTCAACAATCCCCCAAATAAAATTGGTCACTCAATCCATGGCTGTTTGTGGGACATTGCTGTGCGCAATTGGCTGCTAAGTTTCACCCACAAAATACACTGTCAATCCACTTTACAATATATCCTGTGAAGCTTTGAGATGTCTCAGTGATGTGATAAGGCGCTATATCAAATGCAACGATTGTTATTAGTGACTGTGTGTTTTAAATCTAAAATAACCAGCATCAGATCTGAAAGGGAGTTCATCACGCGGAGTGTGATGAGAATATGGATCTCACTGTGGTTGAAACAAAAAACATCAATGTATTTAAGAGAAAACATGATCCGTCCTGGAGGGAGAGGGGAATAGAGAGCTTGTGTGGCAAACACCAGCATGGACTAGTTTGTCCAAACTGAACCCAGCACCACACCCCTCACAGTAACCCCTTCCCAGCAACCCCCTTCCACTCCCAGCACCCCCCACCCCACCAGCTGTTTTTAAATCAAGAAGGGAATAATAATCCTTGCATTTGATATAGCACCTTATAATGTCGTTGAGAGGTCTCGAAACACTTCACAGGATTGTACTGCAAAGTGTATTTGTGAGCAAACGTGGCAGCTAATTTGCACACAGCAATGTCGTACAAGCAGCCGTGAAGTGAATGATGCATTTATCTGGGGGATTGTTGGCCAGCAGACGGGGAGTGAAACTCCTTTCTGGTTTTGAATAGCGCCACGGGAAATCACAAGAGAGGTTTGGATGACGAAGTCCCCTTGACCCATTTAATCTCATCCTTCTAGAATACCCACCAGGCTATCATCCAGTGGGGGTGGGTCCTTTGCTCCCTTTACAGCCACATTTATTTATCACACAACTGAGTGATACGAGTATAAGTACATGACCCAGGATGGATTGAGTTTTTGCAAGGTGGGGGAAGGGGAAGAGAGGCCCAACATTGCCACAAGACTTGATTAGAAAGATCTGTGAACACATCCAATCATTTTACTATAAAACTGCAAACATTCTATGGATCAATTTTTATTCAGGAGATTATTGACCTGGATACCAAGAGAGACTCCATTCTGTTTTCGAATAGTGCCATGGGATCTTTAATATCCATCTGAACAGGCAGACAGGAACTCGGTTTAATACGTCATTGAAAGGAGGACAACTCTGACAATACAGCTCAACACTGCACTGGAGCATCAGCCGAGACTGTGTGAGCTCAAAGTCCTGACATAGGTTTTACACCCACAACCTTCTGATCCAGAGACAAGAGTGCTACCAACTGAGCCAGGCTGACATGCTCAGGGAAATATTTCATCGCAAGATACTCCTAGTTGTTAGATTACAATAATAATAATCCTTGCATTTGATATAGCGCCTTATCACATCTTCGAGATGTCTCAAAGCTTTTCACAGAATATACTGTAAAGTAAATTGACTGTATACATTGTAGGCAAAACTCGGCAGCAAATTGCGCACAGCAGAGTCCCACAAACACTCGTGGGGTTTCTTTAATTTTTGGAAGGATTATTACCTCGGGAAAAGCGATCCACCAATCAACTAACAATCAGATTACTATTAGGTAAACAGAGGCATGTGGAGTAAGGAAACTTGCCTAACATTTTGCCCTGCCCAGGAATCGAACTCTGGTCCGCTCACGTGTGAGGCGAGTGCTCTAACCACTAAGCTACACATAATGCCTTGTCACGTCATTGAAACATCTGAAAGCACGCTTCACAGGATTTTACATAGACGACATGTAGTGACTGTGTTTGTAGGTAAACGTGGCAGCCAATTTGTGCGCAGAAACATCCTGCAAACAGCCGTGAAGTGAGTGACCAACACTATGGTTTGCTGGACTCTGCTGTGCTCCCAACTCCATCCTATCATTGTGGAGTATTCCCTAGCAGCTGAGCTGCCTCAAAGACTTCCCACTGCTGCTTCCCACCAGTCCATCAGCTCTCCGACCCCACGGGAAACCAGACACAAAGAGATGAAATGCCAGGTCCCGGCAGTTTATTTTCCTCCCCACAGGAGAGCATGGTTGTGAGCTGTGGGTTCCATCTGGCAACGGAGCTAAGCCTTGGCGCAACATGTCCAATATGCAGAAGAAGTCCAACTTGCCCACAGTCCTTCTGGCCCATCACAGGGGCTGCCAAAACATAGGCAGTCAGCTGTCTGCCTTAATCCCTCCTCTAAGACTCCACTGTACGCTGTATATTTTTCCTAACAAAAATAAACC